AGATTGACAGGAACTGACTTTATTGAGGAGTTTATCTCAGGATCAATGCCTGGTTGTTAAGAAGGAAGCAGGATTGAATAGAAAGAAATGTCAAGTTGAAATTCATTTTGAACAAAGGCCTGAACTGTTTCTCGGGGGATTCTGGATCTTAGGCCATCATAGTTGTACTTTATGCCCAATCATTAATCAGTGTTTAGTTGGGGATTATTCCAAGAAAAGTTGGTGACTTTTCTTGAGGTGACTTTCTTTAGCTGAGGTAAATAATGGAAAGGGCTCTTCATTTTCTCATTTGTAACTAAGAGCTATTGGCTGCTCCCATTACCAGAAGCTGAGAAACTGAGAAACTGAGAAATTGAGTTCTGCAAAGAAAATATGACAACATTTGAGTGTCTACCACAACCCATCTTGATTTCTTACAATTTTATAAAGTCTCAGCAGTAGTAACTGAAGCTTTATTGTGATTGTGTCACAATCTAATTCTCCCTTTGCTGAAACTTATTTTCTTAGGCTTTATGCAATCATTGATGCCAAGAGCACTTTCCAATAAGATGTCCAATGGAGTCTACTTCCTGTGAAACACAACCTAGTATGCACTCTCAGTGACCTGCTGAATTCATACTTTCAAAAACCTGCAGTTTGGTCTCTATAGACTTAAAGAGTTTCTGGTTCCAAGACAGGAAATTCTTTTCCAGACACCACAGTAAGAGTCCCATTAATCCTCAGATTAGGACTGTCCATTCATTTCTAACTCCCTGTGTTATTAGATTGTCAGGAGAAAAGTCCCAACCAGTCAGGAAGAATTAATTCTGTTTATCTGGATACAATATGCTCTCTGCAACACACAGGATAAGAAATTTACATATAGCATCGAGATGATCAACTTAATGTGTTTTTCACTCTCCATTTCCATTTTTATGTTAAATTGATAAATGCAGTATGAAGGCCTGAGATTGTCATGATGCACACAGGCTAAAGTCATGCAGCTGTGAAGATCTGGGTCACTCCACCTAATAAACCATCTATGGGCAGAGGTGCTGAGAGCAAAGAATGTCTAGAATAGATGGCAAAGGATGAATTTGGCAAGTACCAGTTGTGGTCTTGAGAACAGAAGGGTGAAAATAATTATTGTTTTTTTCTTCTAATAATTATAATATAAATTTTTCTTTACAAAGAAAATTTAAAAGTAGTTTTAATAACCTCTAGTTAATTGATTATGATATAAGATATGATGCAACCACTATACAATGGGGAGATCAATAAGGAAAAATCAATGGATCTTTGGATTAAAAAATAGAAATAAAAGAATTCAATAGTAATCATTTCAAATAAACTTAAAAACTTCATATGAAGGGTCTCATGTTATTATTTCATTATTCACAAATGAAATAATGTTCTCACGAACATAGGGGGAAAAGACCTTAAAATAAAAACTGTATGACTCAGAAAGTATCTCAGAAAACAAATATATAAAACCTTGTGGTAAGACTTACATCTTGACAAGTGATACGTTATACAGCATTGCTAATTCTCTTTTCAGACCCTAATCTACATGATGTTCATATGATGTAATAAAACCAAAAAGTAAATTAATAGATCTGACTTGCATATACAAATCTTAGGAAAAGAGAATAGAAGGAAACTGTTAGGAAAATGCCAGCCTATGTGAGAAGAATGGTTGAAATGCGTGGAAATTTGAATGGAAAAGAAATGGTTAAGTTTGTTCTTTTCTTGGTTAATAGCCTTATATATCAGTATTTCAAAGTAGAAAGTAATATTATTTGAGAATTTGACTGAAGTATTCCAGGATGGCTGCAGCATCCTTAAAAAAAAAAAAAAGAAAAAGGACAAGTATAACTACCTAGCAAGGAAATTGATGAGCCCATTTTTTTCCTTGTCTTTTTCTGTATTTTTAATCCAGAGAACTAGATTCTTAGGTTTGAAAATGATAACTATAAATATAAGATTGTAGCATCAAATTATATTTCCTCAGGAGTCTCTCTTCATATCATCTAAACATTAAATATGATGCACAGTGAAGCCTACATATCCTTCCTAAATAGAAACCAGAATTCAAGATGATCAATAGCTACATTTCCAGAGAAACATTGCAACTGAAATACAGTGAAACTGGAGGAATTCAACCATAATTAGAAGCAACAACAGATTTCAAGTTTCCAGTATAATGCATAAACGTCATGGAAGTTGCCACCCTATCCTCATAGCAACAAAATGTCAACAACTCTTTGTAGATCTATCAGAGAATTGAGATCACTCATCAAACTGCTATACCAAAAACTGGAAAGGGGCAAATAGAGAAGCACAGCTCCCTGGAAAATGAAGATGCTGCATCTGGAATCAGAAAGTGAGTTTTTGCTGGGGGTTGAGCATTTTTTACATTGGGATATTAAAAGCTCCATGGACCAATATCTTATGGGAATCTCCCGAAACCTTAATTTAGAAACCCTCCTATGTTCTCAGAATGACAATGATGAGCATCCTCTCCTGATTCTGGTTGTGGAAGGGGAAAATAATCACTTTAAATATAGGACTATAGCATGTTGTCCTTAACAAAGAACATCCCAAGAAAACCGTCTTACCTATGGCAAGGGAAATAACTAACTCCAGCCCTTTCCAGCTTTCCTTTTGCATATGAGAGGAGAAGCAGTAAAGTTGAGAAGCACTCATGAAGGTCACAGTCTATAAGCACAAACCTAGTAAAAGTTCTAAAATTAATTATGGCCCCACCTCCTCCCATACCATTCTACCACATTGATCAGGATATTTTGTAATAATAGGGATCACAACTGATAGAACTGAATGGCTCAGAAACTACTGAAGATGAAGTCTCTAGGGAAACATATGGTAGGTAACAGAGGAGACATAACAGAACCCTCGATGAAATTTCAGCCTCTAGCCTAACTCATTTTATTAGAAAGGTATTATCATGAAATCAAAAGCAAACAAACCCATTACATTTTTATTTCCTAACTTTTAATTATTAGTCATTCTTTTATCTTTTTAGTACATTGCCAATCTTTTCTTATATGTTGACCATTTTTTTCCACTACAGAACTTGGTAAATTGATCAATTTCTTTAAATTTTAAAGTCCAATAGTCTCCAGATCTTTGACATACTTATTAAGGTTCTGAAATTTCTCTGTCTCTTTACACTGTGGCTTTTGTCTTTTAGTCTTCCTTTTGATAACTTTTGTTGAAAGACAGACATGGTTCGTTGAGTGTAAGAATCTAAGGGGACAAGGCCTTCAGTATGAGATTTTTATGTTTTTCTCTCAGTGAGATAGGTTATGTTTCCCTCAGTGCTAGATGTTAAAGGACAAATTTTTCTCTGTTGTTCCTGATTTGTTTGCCTGTGAAGTCAACTTCAGATTTCTCTAGTGACTTCCCTAAGGTCTAAGACATGTTCTTTCAGCTTAATTCCCTCATTATTATACAGGAGTGCGACAGGTTAATGGCAAGGTCTGGGGCAACAGGACATGCTGTACTGTACATTACTTACATCTCAATGTTTTCATAACCCTATGTTCTGGGTTGTGACTACCACATGTGTTCATCATTTTTGTTTGTTGTTGTTTTTTGTGGTTTGGTTGGTTAGGTGTCTCCCCATTAGGTGTAACAAGAAGGCTAGAAGTGCTGAGGTTAGGTATTTTCTCCTTCCATATGTGGAAGGCTTGAGGAGTTCATTTTATATATTTCTCCTCCTTTAGGTCTGTAAGGCTCTCTGAAGCCCCAGTCTTTTAGGATCTGGGAGAGTAGTTTCTCTTGAAGACAGGCCTTACTCAGCAAACAGAACTATCTCTGCATGTGTTTAAAATGACTACTTATACCCTCTTCCCCCCTGCAGAAAGAGGAGGAAATATTTCTCCAATCCACACACTTAGGATCTGATAGGTCTCCTATAGGTAAAGGTAACAAAAGTGTGGGAGACATTTCAAAATTTCCTGGCCCCTGGAAATTTTAACTCTCAAGACTGTCTACACACAGAGTATCCAAGCAATTTGTCTATTATAGTTTAAGTTTTCCTACCTCGCTATCTGTCTCTTCAATTTTTCAGGCAACAGTTTTCCCTTTGACCTCAATAACTGCCATGATTCTAAGAAGTGTTGCTTACTTTTGGTTAGGTCAGTTCCTTATATGTTGGATCAGAAACTGTAAGCCTGAGCCTTTTTTTTTTTTTTTAGTAAAGGCTCAGAAAAAGATAAAGATGTCTATATAATACATTTATGTTTGATTGATTGAGAATTTTCCACTTTAGAAAAGAAAATGTTCTATTTAAAAATGTTCCATAGAATGGAAAACACAATCAAACTTACAAACTCCCCACAGGCAAAATCCCCTACACCAATTAAACACAATTTAAGAACAATGGCACAGACTCAAAGCAAATGTAAGTCATTTAAAATTTTTTTAAAAATCCAGTAAGTTACAAAGATTCTTTATTAAATAATTCAGTTTGGGGAACAATCTTAAGTATTAGAAGATAATAGAGTAGTATTGTAAGTTGTGGAAGGAAAATAAGTTAGAAAACATAACTTTAAAAACAGTTAAAATATTTAAATACCAGGAAATGTAAGCATACCTCCAGGCAAGCATAGGTAGTGTATCACGGAACACTCTGAAAACACTTTCAGAGAAGTGGTATGTCAAACAGAAAAATAAAATCATGGAAACTTAATAAAATATGATAATTTCGTTTTCATAAATAATAGTAAAGCTCACTGTTGCCCAAAGGAACAAATGTCAAAAAATCTTAAAATTCTATAGAAAATAATGCATATGTGTAAGGTTATCCATCACAACAAGAATCTGAAGCCATGGTTACCTCAAAAGTGATTATTTCAGCTGATCCCAAATTCAGAGATCCAGAAAAGCTTCTCTATGGTTTTCTAGATGTTCTTTATCATAACAAAGTAAATTAGCATAAATATGTATGTTATTATCAGAGGAAATTGCCTACAATCAAAAGGGAGTTGTTATCTTACCTCTATTTTGAAAACTTGTCCCCAGTATCATCTCCATTTTTTATCACAGCAGCCTGCTTCACATGAATATATCTAAAACAATTACTGGCAAAAAAAAAAAGAATGGAATTATGCTGATTGATGAGGAACATTCAATGTTTGGAGATTGAATGGATACCATTAAACCTATGAAAACCAAATAACTGAACGATATTAGGAAATGTACCATTTATGGGCTTAGTATTTCTATCACAAGAGGTCTATAATGATAGTGATGTGATAGACTTCTGGAAAAGAGAAGCTGTACCTATTGGCTCAAGAGAAAGAAGGTTCTAGCTTGGAACTATAGGGGTAAAATGGTAGAATTGATACTGTTGGAAAACATGATACTTTCTCAGCAAAAGTACCTAAATAGAAATAAAAGTATGTATATGGGCAATGATACCAATAATAAAGTACAAAAACTGGGAAAATTAATTCAAAACATATTCACAAAGGAAAAAAATAATCAGCTGAATATTAAAATGTTTCCATAGCTATAATTATCTAAGAATATATTCAATTAAGTATATGATATAATAGTATTCAGGGAAGGATAGAGCATCAATAGAGGTTATTAAGACTATTTGCAGTATTTTTGAACAAATGAAGTATATAGTATCTAAATTAGAAAAGTCAGGGTCTAAAAATATAAATACATAATTTGAAAATGTGGAATCAATTACCAGATAGAGGAAACAACTTCAATAATATAATGCTTATGGTGGAAAATATTATTGATTTGACAAACCTACTCTCCTCTTTTCTCATTGTAACAGAATATCACTTCCTTGCTAGATTTCATTTCCCAGCCTTCCTTGAAGTCAAAAGAGGGTAAGCACTTGTCAGTGGTGAGTAGTACTGGTTGTAAACTCTGTCATTTCTTTGGGTGTTAAGTCATCTAGTTTTCTTCCTCCCCAGATACTTTTCCATGTCTGCTTGGCTAAAAGTTTCTGGCATATCAGCCTGTACTGGATGATTGGGTAACATTTCTGGCTGTATGGCTCTCTGAATCCAGTTTTCTATCCCTCACAGATTTTTTGACCAGTTTTAATAAGTGTTACAAGTCTGTTTAGCTGCTATGGGTTTTGACGTTTTCAATTAAGAAAACTGACTAAATACTCCTTCTTATGTTTTTATGAAACTATGTACAAGAGTTACTCTGCTATACTAAAACCAATAAAAATATACTTGGATGCTAATTTCTGACTATACTACTCTGAGCAAAGAACATGGAAAAATAAAGAGCTACTGTCTCATAATGAAAGCTTCCATTATTATAAAATTGCATGGGTACTCCTTGGTCTCCTACCAATTTCTCTATAAATTTGTGAAAGAGCAGAGTGACTCCCCACTATCCATGTGTCTGATTCAAGTACACAACACTGGAAGATGATAACAGCATTAGTCACTTCAGTGTCCTCTGACTTAATACCCCCAGTCTTCCCATAAATCTTCCTGATGTCTATACCACATGTCATTAGCATTTCCATCCATGGCCCTTGCTCTGAATCAACACAGTTGGTTCATACTACATATTTCATGCCAATGTGATGACAGCATATCAGCAAGAATAGCATAATTCTTTATATCTTACATTATGACTTCAAACAATAGGAATCAATGAGAAAATTTAAAATAAATTAATGATCAATGAAGAGAATTAAAGGAATTAATATTCAGCTGATTATTTTTTTTTCCTTTGTAAATATGTTTTGAATTAAAGGGAATAATGATTGAAATTTACAATATTATAAAGTAATCTGTTTAAAATTTAAAAGTTATCTTTAAGTAATCATGCACGATAGTTAGGCAAAAGTGGAAAAAAAAACTATAATAAGATTATTTTTAAAATGAGCTTAATTTAAATATCTTGAAGGGAACATTTGTTTATCTGTAAAATGGGAAAATCTAAAATGTCCCAACTGAAAATGATTTCTCAACAGATAATTATTTTTTAGACTTGATTAATAGACAGGTGACGTGCTAAATAATCTTACTATTTTCATGTGTGTTTCCAGGTGGCTGCAATAAAGGAAAATGTCAGTCAGAAATTTATTTTGGTTTTCTAAAATGTTAATGCAACACTTAAGAAACTCAAGTTTGTCATGAATTTTAGAGCAAAATATTAAAAAGTTTTGATAAAAAATCTAGAGTAAAAAATACTATAAAGAGAAAAATTGTTTGATAATTGCATGTCTAACCTTTTATACTAGAGATAATAAGACAGAGGGATTATGATTATATATTCTTGAGTAAAACTGATTTATATTTTAATCCAATGTATATAAGGGTATGTGCCATGTAACTGTGGGCATGTTATTTAATATTCGTCTCTTTTGAGACCATATGGCAGAGGTAATAAAGATATTAAATATTCATTGACTCTATGTGTATCTTGGGAATGGTTTGTTTAAATAGTACAATTATTACTATTTCCATTATTGGTGAGGAAGTGAGGACCCAAAGCATTATGTCTAAGATCACACAGACTTTAAGCAGCCAAGCTGATATTCAACTGCAGTCAGCCTGACTTCTTAGTCTATGTTCTAAACTACAAGTATTCTGTCTTTAAAAAGGTGTTATATGATTAGGAAAATAAAACAAAAGAATGTATTGAATTAGAACTTATCAATAACTATTAAATTGCATATATTTTCCTTTTCCTTTTTTCCCACACAGGAACAAATTTTGCTTCATATTTTCCATTGTCCTTTGCCAATCATCAGGCACATTGTATTCTTAACCTTAGAATCTAGATTCTTAATATTCATGTCTTTCTTTGTTGTTTTAGTGGTATTTGCAACAACTTAACAGTGGTTTCAGTCTCAGATTATTTCCCTAGATAAAATACTTAACATTATCAGTGTTGTTTGACAAAATTGTTCCACTTGTTAGGACCTGATTATGCCCTTTTGCTCATGTATTATAATGGTCTCTTATAAAAAGGGGTCAAATAGGATCTTGCCAGAGTTAACTCAGAAAGAATAGAGAAGAGGGATTGAGAAAGGAGGGCAAAGTTGAAAATACTTAAGAGGTAAATGATATACTGACTATAAAAATAAAGAAAACTCAGGAGTTTGGGATATATATGTCCTCCAAAATGATCTTTGGATCCCTGACTTGGAAAAATGGTTTATGGCTGCAGATAACTTATAAGTTATTATTCAGTTTTATAAGAGTTCAATGTATTGTCCTTATTGAATATGTAAGCAGGGAATAATTTGAAAGCTACAAGCCTGAATTTCCAATTCTTGAGGGAAAGTTTAATTTTAAAGGAATCCAACATATAAATTCTGGAATCTTCAGTTCAATCAAGACTTGTCATTCCCCATCTCAAGATCAGTCAGGGACTCTTTACCATGTAATACTTAAGGACAATCAGTGATACTGATTTATGTGCTTGGGAGCTGCAAAAAGGGAAGGAGTGAACTTTTAACCTTTTCCATATCTGGAATCTGACTTACATCCACAAAGTGGGATTCTGGTATATACCACAATTAAACTTATATACAAAAACAAATCAACAAACAAGAATAATAAACGGAATAAACTTAGATTTAAGGTCCGAAGTTAAACAGAAGACACCAATTTTTAAAGGACCACATACACTTTGGACTAGTGTGAGAGACTTACCAGGCACTTTCAAGATTTTGGAAATTTTCATTACTTTTTCAAATGCATTTATCCCCAAGGATTGTCAATTTCCCTTCATTATAGCAGTAAAACTCTTAAAAATAATTGCAAGGAGACTTTACTGCCTCATTAGGAGTACAAGAGATCTGTGTTAAGGAGTTGTTCTCCAAAGAGACTTTTGAGGTGAGAGGATCTTAAAAGGTAAAACAAATAAAGAACTAATATTTTCAGAGGCAGTTTCTTTGTTCCTTTATACCTCAGGATGAGCTCAGGATCAGAATGTATAAAGTAAGACTCTATGTTCTCCTTTCTACTTTTTGCTTTCACATCCATTTTTTTTTCCTTGGTGTGAGATTATTTTTATTTCTCTAATACAGAACTGATGAGGTGTGAATTTCAGGATGATAGCTATGTATTCACCTTTCATAAAGATCTTTATGTGGCAATAGAAAGTGTTTGTTTTGGCCTAAGGGTTTTCTAAGTCTTATGAAGGCTTAAGAAATCCTGTTTTTTTTTTTCCCCAGTTCCCATGGAAGATAAAGAAAGGATTGAGAGGGAAAATGGAAGAAAACAAATAGTTAATATTAATATATTTCATTTTTATATCCAAATGCCTAACCACAGATTAAATACTGTAAAGAGATAGCATATTGTTTTTATTGTTGCATAATAAATTACCAAAAACCTACAGTTTAAAATAACAGACATATATTATTACACATTATCTATGGGTCAGATCTGGGCATAGCCTACCTGACTTCTCTGTCGTGGGTCTCAGAGATTTGATGAAGGTGTTGGTTGGATAGCATTCTCATCTGCAGGCTGAAAGAATCCTCCCTCCCGTTTATTTAAGAGACTGGCCAACTTTGTTTCTAATAGCTTTGTAACTAAGGGCCCTGGCATTTTGCTAGGTACTGGCAAGAGGCCATCCTCAGGTCCTGGAGGCCACTGGCAGTTCTAGGAGGCTGCGCACTGTTGCTGGCCTAGAAGGCTTTCCGACACGAGAGCTGAGACAGCAAGGAGGTTTTCTGATCTGGGCTGGAGCCCTAACCCTCTGTTAAGGGCTTTTTTTGATCAAGTCAGTCCCATGGAAAAATCATCTTTCTTTTGATAAACTCAGTTTTGTTAGTCATCTTTTTATTACTGGGGCAAAATACCTAAGGTAAATAAACTAAAAGGAGAAAGGTTTGTTTGGGCTCATGGACTCAGTCCTGTTGCTTTGGGTCTTTGGTGGCCAAGTACATCATGGTGGGAACATGTAGCAAAGGAGCCCTCTTCACCTCAAGGCATTCAGTGAACAAAATAAAAGAAGAAGGGGCCAGAGTCCCAATTTTCTCTTCAAGGGCATACCCCCAATGACCCAACTTTCACCAGCAAGGCCCCACCTTTTAAAGCTTCTACCTCCTAATAGCATCACCACAGACTGGCAACACACTTTAACACATGCAAATGGTCCTCTGTGGGACACTCCAGGTTCTATCTCTAACTGTAGCATTCAATCCTATCTGGCTCCATATGAATATATAAAACGGTCTATTACAATATAGCTTGAGTTATGTTCTAAAATCATATTGCACCCATATATGTATGTTTTAGATTAAAGGAAAGATAGATTAGAAATTGTATTAGTCAAAGTTCTATAGATGAATAAAACCATCAGGTTGAGTATATGTATGACTACAAAAGCGGTTTATTAGATGGGATTATGCAATCAGAAGCTGGATAGTCCCAAAAGGGCCATCTGCATGCTAGGGTGACAGAGGAACCAGTAGCCGTCCACTCCAAGAACCTGGAGCTTCTGAACAACAGAAATGAACGATGATGCAACTCCAATCTGAGATTGAAGACCTGAAATCTCCCTGGAGAATCACTGGTGAGACTCCACTTTGAAAAGGAAGGAGCTTAAATATCCTTGGATGATAATAGCAGCACCAGATACAATTCCCCAGGAAGAATCCAGCTTCAGTCTGCTAAGGCTACCTATCTCCTTCTTCTGCTTTTTGTTCCATCTGGGCCCCCAGCCTATAGACAGTGCCACCCACTCACTTTGGCCCCACATACCAATCATCTCTAGAAATACCTTCATTAACATACCTAGGGGTCTCTTATTCCTAAGCATCTCTTATCCTAATCAAGTCGATAGTGCATATTAACCATCACAAAAATATATCAATCAAAGTGACTCCTGCACAACTCTAACAATATGACCCCAACTGTTTTTGTTTTTTCTTAATTCAAAAATGAATCCCCTTATTTGATAGTTTCTGTTAGTTAATGTTTCTGATATCCACTGGGAAACTAAGTTATTCTATATTAAACTGCCTATGTTGCAGTTAAAACTTTAATCTTTTTCTAAATAAGGTATTCTCAAATATTACCATTTGTGGCCTTGTTAAAACAGACCAAAGGACCTCAAATCAAGAGTTTCTGTCTGAAGTTGAGCCTTAGGCCTAGGAATTTCTCTTTCAATGACATTCCTCAGGAAGGCTAATAGTGTTGGTCCTAAAACAAGCACTGCTAATTCCTCTGTATTGCAACCACCACTCCAAGAGAATCCTTCAAAGCAGGTTGCTTCACTGATAGGAAAATAGTCGAAATTAGTTCAGGTTATGAGCCCTTAATAGTCATAAATCATGAAATTTTCACAGCAGAATAAAAGAACCAAGAGAACATCTCCCTTGAACAATCTAAATATTGGAGATGAAGTGATACCCCTACAAGAGCACAGACTAATAGACAAACAGCAGAATCAATGAGGCCCCAGTGATTATCAATGGAAGAATCTATGGAAGGTCACAAGCCAAAGGATGCACAGGTATAGAAAATATAGTCAGTTGACAGAAATAGCAGTAAAAGAGCTTAAGAGACAAGAGGTAGCAAAACACCAATTAGTGTCTAAGGCGGTCTTTTCTGGGTGTGTGGTAGGGTGAAAGGCTAGTGAAACAAGTTTCCAGAGCTGTGAATGCTTTGGAGTTACTTCTATTTGTAAAGCCCAGCTCTGTTGGGCTGTATTTTCCATAAAAAGCTTACCTTAAGGGTTGGGGGTGTAGCTCAGTGGTAGAGTACTCACCCAGCATGTACAGTGTTTTGGGTTTGATACCCAGCATCACAGAAAGAGCTTACTTGTTCTGTCCACTTTACAAAGATTACTGTATTGTTATAATTATGATACAAATTTTATATCATAAGCTCTATCTCAAGAACATATAAATGTCTCAATAAGTACTCTCCTAAAGAATTATAATTGCCACACTGACTTAAAATCCTGGATTGATCATTGTACTTTGTAATCCAAGGAATCTAACATGTTATTTAAGCCATGCTCATCTGGCCCCAACCAAATGTCTCCTAAATGGCTGGAATTGCACAGGTACATCCATTTTATGTAAGATCCTACACCATACCAGCTGGTAACAAACAGCCCGGCTGTATAGCTGGATAGCCAGGTGGGAGCGAGATTGTTGAATACCTTCTTGTAAATACACACTCTAAATTGCTTATTTGTAATTAGAACAATGTCAGTGCCAGATAATTAAAATAGCACAGAGGGGTAAAATATGGCTGGATCTAAAGTCAGAGGATAATTTAAACAGGTGTAAAAGGGAATTTCTCAGACAAATGTTCTAAGGCAAGAATATGTCTGAATAGTGCTGGAAAAAATAGAGCAGGAGAGGTAAGAGTCCCAAGAAAGGACACCAAGAAGAAATGTGTGTTGGAAAAGAGACAGTGCAGGGACCAACTGTGAGCCATTGGTAAGACTTTGGTTTTTACTCTGAAAGCTGTAGGGAGTGATCACAATGTTTTAGCAGAGGAGTTACATGATCTGGCTTCATTTTTAAAAGATCATTCTGAATTTAAAGGACTGGGTATGCTCATTAATGAAGAAGCACATTCTGTTTCTTTAGAAGTAAAGGCAGTGTTTAAAATGATGGTAGGTAGGGAGCATGTTATATAGACATGGGAAGTTATCGTTATGATTTTGTTCACTATGATCATTAGCTAATTATAATGGCACACTCTCTTCTCTGTTATTGGGACTTAGCTGCTTGAGAGATTAGAGTTTAGTTTATGCATCAGAGCAACCTCCTTGCTAGAAGGAATTGCAGCGCACTGCCAAAATTGCAGGAGTCATTTAAACACCATTTAACTCCTACCAATCGCATGACACAATTAAAACTCTACTTTCTTTGTAAGGCTTTTGTAAAACTGCCCTCAACAGGTGCAAAGCCTCCTGCCTTTGTGCATGCCATATATTTTACATACCTGCAGTTCAATTTTTATCACATTTTATTATATTTGTTCCACATAAGAATGAATTCCTTGAGAGCAGGGATAATGTCTTATTCAAATTTCAGAGAACTCCCAGGGCTACGAAGCATGGAATATCATACTGTGACATATACATAATATTGAAAGTAAATAGTTGAACAGCAGAGGAAAGAAGTATCCATTTGCTTTTTCCTGCTGATGTATTCAATAGCTGTGTTCAGTTTTGTACCTTCTTCTGTTGAGATTTTACATGTTTTTACTGAGTTACTAAATTCAGAGGGAATCCTTGTGAATTTTCATGTATTTCTCCTCAGTTCTTGCTTTTTGTACTTTAAATGTTGCTGGATTTACTTATGTCAAAAGACTAAACCAGACATGGTATTGCATGCCAGTAATCCCTAGCTGATCTAGAGGCTGAGGCAGGAGGATCACAAGTTCAAAGTCAGCCTCAGCAAAAGCAAGGTGCTGAGCAACTCAGTGATACCCTGTCTGTAAATAAAATACAAAAATAGGGCTGATAGGGCTGGGAAAGTGTCTCAGTGGTCAAGTGCCCCTGAGTTCAATCTCTGGTACCTATCCCCCCAAATAAAAAGACTAAGGATCTTATTAGAATTTCTATTTCCTTCAAGCACTATTTCATTGTGTTCCATAAAATAGCTTATAAGATATAAAACTTTACACAAACGTAATTGTTCTTGATTTTATTATTAAAAATAATTGTTAAAAGGAATGGCGAGGAAGAGAAGAGAGACCATCCATTACACATGAAGACTGACCCAAAAATATATGCTATGTGGTCCATAAACTTTATTATGAGACCATACAGAGATTGGGCAAAAACTCAGTACTCATGTAACTTCTTTCAATGATTAAGAATGTTTAAGAAATTTTAAGTTGTATTTAAAATATTCTGATTAATACAGGATATGGCATTCAAACAGAAAGGTCACCAGCAAAGTATAATTTCATTATTTCTTCCAAAAAAGTCATATGTCTACCCAAAGCTCACAAGGCTATATTACTTATGCCACTCTCTAATTTGGACACTAAATCCAAAGAAACTTCCCATAATCTTTGAGAGCCTAACTAATTTGTCATATTATAATCAAATAAGTCATAACAAAGATAATAATATAAAAGTGATGAACATTTATCTTCAGTTTCTCTGCATAGAAACTTCAGAAAATCCTTCCTTCTGAAAAAATAAATATTTACCACCTACTGCTTGAATGACTGGATATTACAGATGTTAATACCTTTGGCATACAGTACCCACAACAACAACAAAAAAAAATCTGTGTTCTTTAAAAATTTGGAAACACAGTCATTTCTTTTTCTTTCTTTGTGTTTTTGTTTTAAATATTTCTTAACTCCACAACTGACTTTGGCTTTTTTTTTCCCTAGAATGAAGAAAGTGTTTGTCATTTTAAATCAGAAAGAAGCACTTCAGTCTTCAGGTACACAGAGAAGAGCTTGGTAAAAAGGAAAATCGAGTGAAGTAGCCAGACCACAATGAGGATTTGTAAACATTTCTGTTTTTACTATGGCAACTAGATGAAGGGGCAGATTAA